CCAGAACATATGGGTTATTTAAAACTATGTGTGGACTTCAAGACATGTTCCTGCATCATTAGCTGATGGCAGCAGGTGTTTCGTGGATGTGGGGCTGGTGTTCCACAGCCAAGTGCCTTGGTTCTCACCGACGCTGGTTCCACCTCCACCTTCCTGCTGCTGTGGCCCCAGCTGGTGGGATGGGTAAGTGAGCAGCTGAGTGACCAAGTGCACAGCAGGTGGAGATTTCTGAGTGTCACAGAACGTGTGCTAAGCAGGAGATAGGAGCAGATGCGTAGCTTCTAGACAGACACAAGCAGCCGTTAACCGGAGCGTCTCCGGGCAGGCGAGGGCAGTGGAACGGGCTTTGCATTTCATGTTCCCACCCACCATGCTGGACATTTTATGGTATGAGGGTAGCATTTTCAACTGAAGAAACAAAAAGCCCACGAAGAAATTTGCCTGAACCGACAGCCTCTGAGACACCAGCTACACAGGGCGCACGTGAGTCACCCCTGTCACATATCGAGAATGAAGCAGGGACCGTTCCGGGTGTGTGTCAGTCAGTAGCGGCATTAGCTACTTCAACTTTTAAAAATGTTTATTCACTGTTTGTGTGAAAGACAGATTTTTCTACCTACTAGTTTGCTCTCTAACTGTGCAGCAGCTGGGCCTGTGCTGGCTCAAAGCCAGGAGTCCAGTACTCCATGGGACAGGAGCCTGAGGCTGCGGCCGCCACCTGCCACTTCCCAAGAGTGCCTCAGCAGGAGGCTGGAGCCAGAGGCAGGGCCAGGACTCAAACCCGTGCTTAGCTGCTGTGCCACGGCTGTCTGACTCTAGTCTCGACCTGTAGGAAACGAGCGACTCTGAGCAGCACCTCTGTTTTGCAATGGATGGCTTGGCGATGACTGACGGTTTTCTCTAATTATCAGAGAGATGGTTGAGTTTAAGAGACAAAACATCCAAGACCACTGACTGAGAAGTGTAAAAACTGGCGCTCTGTGGTCCCTGAACCCTGAACGCAGCCACCACGCATGTGGAAACACCACCGCTGATGCCCCCGAGTCGCTCCTGTGGCCAGGTGGTGGAAGCCCCAGCAAGCGGCTGCCCACCCGGCTCGCCCGTTTCTTGGAAAGCTGCTGCGATATGGCAGGGTCCGGGCGCTAGACAGCGCCAGAGCCTCGAGTGAGTGACCGGAACGGTGGAAAGAACGCTTACCAGACCCTCTCTCGTTCCGTCGACCAGCAGGCTAAGCCCGGAACCCACTGGCCTTCGACAGGCAGGCCAGCTGTGCTGGCTGCAACGCCAGCTGCCCATGCGTGTGTTGCAGCACAGGGCTCCTTCCAAACATTCTTTAAATCCAACGCCTGCCAAATTTTCCCTTCTCTTAAAACATGGATTTAAAACACATTCAGGAGCCATAGTTAACACAATGTTAATTATGGTGTTGGTACTGGCGCCTAGGGAGGGTGTTAATGGAGCAGTCACTGCTGGTGTACACGGCGTGGATCCACGCTCAAGCACTGGTCAGCTCTCGCAGGCCCTGCCTCCCAGCTCGGCTGCACTGCCGCTCACTTCCCGTGAACTTGAGGGCTCAGTCACCCCGAGGCTCCTGGTCTCAGTCATTGTGACTGAGGAGGAAGGACCCTCTTCCCCAACACGTCCTCCCTGAGTGCTCAGGGGGCAGGCTGGCACTGTCAGGAAAAGGAGGGCAGGAGGGGCAGGCTGGCACTGTCAGGAAAAGGAGGGCAGGAGGGGCGGGAGGGGCAGGAGGGCCAGGAGGGCCAGGAGGGCAGGAGGGCAGGATGGACGGGAACCGAGCACAGCAGCTGGCTGCCTCTGTCCTATAGAGTGACATACAGCGTGGACCACAGGACCGAGTAACAGATTGCCACGGCCAGTGACGGCGTCGGAACAATCCACAGTGCCATGCAAAATTGCACCCACGGCCAAACACTCGTCAACAGGCCCTGGTCAGTTCCCAACCCAGTCAGAGACAACGTCCACGCAAGACAGGGGGTCCGCAGCCCTAGGGCCAGGCAGAGCTCCTCCTGGCCCATTAACAGGACACCAGAGAGGGCCCCGGGTTCAGCACCTCCCTTACCAAGCAGTTCGGGGATGACATGGCCGGTGCCACCCCGTGCCCCTCACAGACAGCAGCAGGCGCCACATGAGCAACCAAAGGCCTCTGGGGCACCACTAGGCTCCTCTGAGCAGGCTCCAACCTTCACCACCATGGACATGGCCCTGCTTCCCTAATCACATGTTTGGGAAGGGAGTGATACCAGCCGACCTTCTGTGGCTAAGGCCACTGTCTGTGGCTCCACTGTCTTAAAGAGACACATCGCAGCACTGTCAGACAGGACTCGGCACTCCACACACACCAGCCCCCGCCACAGGTGTCACAGGTAGAGCACCTCAGGACACCACACTGTCACAGGCCACGGCATCGTACTATGTCACGGTGCTGTCCCACACAACACGGTCACACGCCACGGCACTGTCACACACACCATTACATGCCACAGCACAGTAACACACAGCACCATCACACACACTGCCACACATCACAGCACCATCACACACGTCACACATGTCAGTATACACACAGCAGTATACGCAGTCACACATCATAGCACCATCACACACGTCACACGTGTCAGTATACACAGTCACACATCACAGCACCATCACACACGTCACACACACAGTCACACACCACAGCACCATCACACACGTCACACGTGTCAGTATACACACAGCAGTATACACACACACCACAGCACCATCACACACATCACACACACAGCAGTATACGCAGTCACACATCACAGCACCATCACACACGTCACACACATTGCCACATGCTACAACACCATCTCACACAGTCACACACACCACAGCACCGTCGCACACACATTGCCACACTCCATATCACCTCACAGCTCCCTCAGCCCAGCACAGACGGAGCTCGCGCTACGCGTGCAGTGCAGGCGTAGCCCTCCCGGTGTCTTACACAGTTTGGTGACAGACTATCTGCTGGGTGGGTTGAGCGATCAGACGAGGATCTCTAGCCCCAGTTTTCCTTCGTGCTACAATGCAAGCAGATGTCTCTAAAGCAGAAGTTTCCCCCGTGGGCCCTCTGAACAACCTGGACTGGACCACACAAAAGTCTGGGACCACAGTGCCCCGACTCCTGCTGCCTCACATGTCGCCTACCAGGCGGGTGTCAACACAGCACTGCCCAGAAGTCCACGGTCAGCAGGCCGGGCCTCAGTGACCCCTGACCCACCAGACATCCCCGAGCACCTGGCAGAGGCAGACAGGTGAGGGAGAAGAGAGGCCCAGCAGGGTGGCACTGGAAAGGTCTCCCCAGAGGTCAGGTCCGACAGGGCAGTGCCGGGCTCTCAGAGTGGACAGCAGTGTGGCATCATGGACGCTGAATGGATCTCAGGAATGAGAAACAAGAGGGAGGCAGAGCCCCTCCCGTGGTCACCTCCTGTACTCGGGGGCCGTCTACAAGTCAGCGGACCCTGGGGACAGCACAGGAACGCTCAGCCACCGGCCCTGCCTCTCAAGTTCTGGTCAGGTGTCTCTAGCATCTTTCTGGAAACTTCTCTCCCGCACAGTTTGGGGTGATATCTATGTCCCCTTTAAAAGTCAGTACCTGCTGCCAAGAGTTCCTTGTGCCCCCTCCCCCACCGCCTCACAGCCACTCAGGCCGTTTGTCGGAGCCACTTCCTTGCTCTGACTTCCTCAGCCCTGACCTGGCCAGAGCCTGCCTCCTGGGGCACCTGTGCTCAGTCTGACTTGGCTTCCCCGAGCACTGAAGGGTTAACCTCTGGCGGGATGATCACCAGGACTAAGCCAGACCAGGGACTGCGGAACACTGCATTAAGCATCTGCACTCAACTTCTATCTATGGAACCAGTGGATAAGGAACCGCCACCCCCAGTGACTCAGACGCGGTTCTGTGCCGTGTGAACTAGAAGAGACCATGGCGGACGGCGAAACCACGCAGGTGTCCCAGGCGGCCTGCTCCTCCCAAGGCCAAGACTTCCCCACCTCCTGACGGTGAAGGCAGGAATGGGGGTGGGGTCCCGGGAGCCTGGCCCTCAGCCAAGGGCAGTCAGGAGGCCACTTCGGCATCTGTGCCACTGAGAACACCAAGCCTGCAGAGCCCACCAACCCACCCGGGGCCACAAGTGCCCCCTCCCCCATCGGGAGTGACCTGGGGCCTGTGGCTTCACAGCCATTCGCGGAGCCTCCTGCGCCAGACAAGGACTTCCCGGGCCTTTCATGCCTGACCAGCCAGCTAGCAGCTCTGTCTGTGCTGGGCGCTGCCTTCTCAGTGGAAACACCGAGAGCTTCCGAAGCTAACCTGGCCACCACTCATGGAGGTGTGCAGGAGCCCCTTCCGCCTGATTTAAGCTCTGCTGGGCAGGCGCCTTCAGCGCCTGCATCCCCTCCTGTGCGCTGTCCTGTCTCAGCTGTGGTCAGGCGCCAGCGGCTCAAGGACAGCTCCCTGGGACCGAAGTTGCTCCCCGGGGACCCCTTGCGTGGGGGCGCTCCCAAGGCTGCGCAGCACCCGCTGACTACCAGCCCCTGGAGGCTGCACACCTGCGCTCCACAGGTGGGGAGGCAGCCACATCGAGCTTCCAGGGCCCTCTCCGCAGCGCCTGGCGGTGGCGCGTGTCCCAGCACACAGTCCCCGGGCATCCAGCAGGTCCGCTCGCCCACTGCGCGCGGGACAAGGCGCCGTGGTGGCAGGTTCCCCGCGCCCTGGAGAGCCAGGGTCGGATCCAGCCTGGGAGGCGGGAGCAGGGGCAAGCCTGGGGGTCCGAGCGCAGCTCTCTCCGCCGCCCCGGCCGCAGTCGGGCGTCCACGCCCCCGGCGGAGGACCCTGGGCTCTGGCCACTGGGCCGGGAGCCGCGGTGGGGACCACGGGAGCTCAGAGACGAGAGCTCAGGGGAGACGCCTCGCGGGAAGCCCCGCGGCTCGGCGCGGCGCGGGGCGCTCACCACACGGCCATCCTGCTCTTGGGGTAGTCCAGCCGCTCCAGGCAGCCCAGGAAGGTAGGCAGCGCGCGCGCCGCGTTGCGGGCGAGGATGGCCACCAGCACCGTGGGCCTCTGCAGGGGCGACTCCGGGAAAGCCCGCGATTCCTCGTCGTCCTCCTGCGGGTCCGGCTCGGCGGTGAAGCGCGCCTCGCAGCCGCCCCGCAGCAGGCCCGAGGTCAGCAGCAAACAGGCGAGCACGGCGGGGCGCGCGGCCATGATCCTCGGGCGGGTTGGCGGGCAGGAGGGCGGAGGGGGCGAGGGGCTGCGCCCTGGTCCCGGCCGCGTCCCGGCCGTGTCCGGGCGTGCCTGGGTCCCGGTTGCGACCCGGCTGGATTCGCGGCTCCCACGAGCCTGCCGCTGCCCTCCCCACGCCTGGGGCTCGTTGGCGATCGCGCCGAGGGTTGCGGACACTGTTCGGTCCCGGCTCCGCTCTCACTATCCTGGGCTGCGGCTGCCCCACCTCCACCCGAGCTGTGAGGTGTGGCCCAGGCGGCCAATGGGCGTGTGTGTGTACAGCGGCGCAGCCCCAAGAAAATGTATTCTGCCTCTGAGACCGCGGTCTGCTGGCCTTCGCAGGGATGTGCTCCACAATGCACCCATTGACTGGCAAGTGGGGCAGTTTCTTTCCGTTCAGCTTCTCCCGAGATGCATTTCTGAGCACTCCAGTAGAAACCGACACTTGGTGAATGCGGGAGCCTAGTGACTCCCAGCCAGCGTGGAGGAGGCAGCCGGGGTGCCCCCGGCTTTCCCACAGGACGCAGCATGAGCGAGGTGCTCTGAGAGGCTGAACAAAGCCATCAGAGCGTGACAAAGAGGGGGGATTCACGGGTGATGGAGAGGACGAAGGGAAGCAGGTGACACAGCCGGCAGAAAAGCCCAAAGTAGCCGGCCTGAGGGTACATCTTGGCAGTCTGCCCCCTTGGGTCCTGGAGGCGCAGGGAGAGTGGGTGCCACTGCTCTGAGTGTGACTTCAAACTCCAGCCTGCTGTTAGCTCTACCAGGCACTCCTCCTGGGCCCCAGCACTGAGCAGCAGCAGCCCTGCTTGCCCCCCACTCCCAGCCCGCGCAGCCTGCTCAGCACCCCACGAGCCCAGACCTATCCAGCATTCTCCACGAGACCCAGTCTCCACCTGTGCCCTGTCTAGGTGCTCCCTCTTGCAAGCTAAACCTCGGAACCATTGTCCACTTGTAGCAGCGGCACCCCATTTCCAACACAGGGGCCTGTGGCCAAGCACCCTCTGCGGAGGCAGTGCTGGTGAGGCCACAGGCACCCTCTAACGTGCTGAGCCGAGCACACACCCTTCAGCCCCAGCTGCCTGACCTGGGCTACGTGTCTGGGCCTCCTCTGGGTCCATGCGTCTGACTCCTGGCTCACGTGGCCTCCGTACGTGACCTCAGCCTCCAGCCTGTCTCCTGCCCAGTCTTCTTCTCTGAGAGCCAAACTTTCACGTCTCAGGGCCTGTGCATGCTTGCTCCCCCCTGCATACTCCTGGGGCTGTACCTGCTCTCCAGGGACCCTGTCCTGTGCCACACCTCGCGAGGCTGAGGGCTGGCTGTGTCGGAGCTGGCCTGGCCGAGGCACACCCCACACGCTGACCACGGCAAGATGCGGCTGGGGTACACTGAGGACGTGGTGGACACGCTGTTCCTTCCCGCTCTCCCATCCGTCTCTCACATGGGGAGATCCCGCCTCAGGAATATCTGGCTCAGTACTTGTCATTTACTCCCTTCCCTGCAAGTCAGGGAACCGTGTGGCCATCTTTCTTCCCTTCTGGCACCCTAAGGGAACAGTTTGTGTGACCTCACTTTTTTCCTTCAGTGAATGTGGGGCTCTGCCGGGCCTCTGATGGCGTTATAAAAATGGTGGGCCTAGCACGGTAGCCTAGCAGCTATAGTCCTCGCCTTGCACACACTGGCATCCTATATGGGTGCCAGTTTGTGTCCCAGCAGGGTTGCTTCCCATCCAGCTCCCTGCTTGTAGCCTGGCAAGGCAGTTGAGGACGGCCAGTCTTGGAACTCTGCACCCACATGGAGACCCAGAGGAAGCTCCTGGGTCCTGGCTTCAGATGGGCTCAGCTCTGGCTCTTACGGCCACTTGGGGAGTAAATCAGCAGATGGAAGATCTACCTGTCTGTCTCCTCTTCCCTCTGTATATCTAACTTTCCAATAAAAAAAATAAATCTTAAAGGAAAAGAAAATGGTTGTGGGGTTCTCCTTAAGCGGTCACAGCCAGTCTGTGAACAAATCAGAGATGTCCCAGCCCCCCAACCCATACACGACCTGAGAAGATGCATGCCCACGGCTGGCTCTGGGGCCTCTGGGTGCCCTGCTGGTCCCAGACCTTCCAGCACATTCTACAGCAGTCAGCTGTCCTAAAACTGCCCCAGCTGGCCTCCTCTGGTGGCTACTATATGCGTCAAGTTGTTTAGTTGTGGAGCCCGCTTGTGTTTTGATCAAACCAGTGAAGATGCTGCCCCGAGGAATGAAGGATGTGGGGTGTGACCAGCACTTACACTGGGAGACTGTGAATAAAGCAGATCGACTGGCCTTCGTGACGCGGCTGGGCCTGGTCCAGTCTGAGACAAGACGAGAGCTTGGGGACGCCGGCACTGTACCTCGGACTCGCATTGGGCTGACGAGCACCTTAGGTCTCAGCGCACAGTCCCACAACTCCTCAGAGCTCCGTCCGCCTGGCTAATCAACATAGCCGGTAGGACCGTCGTTCTTTTTCTCTGGAGAACGTGAATATCCTGACATATTTGCGTTGCCTCCCGACGTACCATCTAATTCAATGACTTTGGTGTATTCAGGACCGTGCGGAGGCTGAGTGTGCCCTGCTCATAGCCTGCAACCTCACGCTGCAGTCGAGACTGTGAGCTCGTCCAAACAGCAGGACGAACCAACTTGTGGCGCTCTGAACTTCACCATTGTCCTAGCAATAAAGGACCCACTGCCCTTTATTCCTGGACAATATCCCACTGTACAGACACGAAACATTTTTGTTTGTGCTTTTACTAGTGGTCGGACACCTGGGTCAATTCCATTTTTGTGGTATTGTAAAAAGTTCTGCTGTATTTGAATTTCATACACATTAAATCGCAGTCTGTATTTTTCTGTGGGCTGACATGCACTCAAGCTGCATTCACCAACCCAGTTAGCTTGTAAGTCTGTTTGTTTTTAAAACGTTGTTCTGAGATACATCCCTGAAAGGAGAGCTCTTTTCACCTTTTCCTTGATCAGACGCGTTGCTGAGAGAGCGGGGGTCATCAGCTCTCCGCGGTCAGCGGACGTGGCTTTGCACGTTACGCGCTTGCTGGATGTTCGTGTTTTTGTTTTGTTTACTGTCCCCTAAGAGGTGTGCTCTTTCCTAATTGGTTCCTAGGAACTCTGTGAGCATTCTCTGTATCTCTTCCTTCCGTTACCTGTTGTAGGCGCCTTCTCCTTTCTTGGTCAGAAATTCTAAACGGCAGCACAGTCATGTTTATCGAATGTATCTTACGTGTGTGTGCTTCTGCCTTTCGCCAGGCCTCTTTATTTAACTTTATTGAATCCTCCTTCAGGCTGAAGGATGAGTCCCCAGGCTGTGAATTGCCCTCAGCCACAGTCACCTCTGACCTCTGTCTGTGTGGGGGGGTCTGTCCTTGCCCTCTACTTTAGGACCCCACACCCGCACCCCCACCTGCTGTCAATTACAGACCTTTTATGAGACGTTCCCTTTTGCTCGCTCATCAGAAGGGCCTTGGGTATTTTGGGCCCTTTAGGCCCATGCTTCAGAACCAGCTTGTCAGGTATTAAAGCACCTCCTGGGATTAGGACGGTTAGAATGTATAGGCCACGTTGGAAGGAAGTTGCCAGGCGTGCAAAGCTGGCTCTCTTCCGGAGCCTGAGGCCTGTCAAATCACATTTATCTTTTCTAAGGACCTTCACAGACATTCCTAATGTTCCCCATAAACATTTGGCTTGTCTCCATCCTTTCTTAAAAGAGTTCTTTCTCTTCTCCTCCTCTCTCTGTACATCTGCCTTTACAATAAAAACTCGGATATACAGAGAGGAGACAGAAAGATTTGTTATCTTCACTCCCCAAGTTGCCACAAGCGGCCGGAGCTGAGCTGATCTGAAGCCAGGAATCAGGAGCTTCTTTCAGGTTTCCCATGCAGGTGCAGGGTCCCAAGGACTTGGACCATCTTCTTCTGCTTTCCCAGGCCATAAACTGGGAGCTGGATGGAAACTGGAGCTGCCGGGACACAAACTAGCGTCCATATGGGAGCCCATGGCTTGCAAGGGGAGGATTAGTCAAATGAGCCATCATGCTGGGCCCTCTAGTCTCTATCCTAACACATTTTTTGTTTTGTTCTAAATGTAAGCAGCTCTTTAAAAATTAAACACAACACATCTTGTGTGTATCAAACCTGGCCTGGCAGGACAGGAGTAAAACGGCCCAGTCCAGATCACCACATATCAACCACTGGAGATTTTCAGAAGAATAAGGAATAACTATAGTGTGGGTGTAGATTACCATTAGGTTTTAATAGTTTCATGATTCTAAGCTTGCCTCTGGATTTCCAGGGTCCCTCAGATTATCCCTCGTGCCCCGGGATGGGGAGAAGGTCTGGGGATGAAATCACTTATGCCCCTGAAAAATTTTTCTTAGAAATTTTCGAGCCCATTATCAACTCACCGTATTTGCCTCGCACCCCAATACTTTGGCCGAAGTCTTCACCACGAAGTTCCTCGGTAGCTCCACCGTATCAGGTTCCCCGCGCGGGCCACCAATTTGTCCCGACCTGCGGGACAAGACGCTCAAACCCTGAGGGTGGACTGGGAATGCCGGGCTGCTGACCCAAGAAACACACCGACGCATGTACTTGGTGGAAAAGAGTGCCTCCTGCTCTTTAGTTTACTCCTCATATATATACCTTCTTCTCTAGGGGAGGAGGGGAAGGGGAGGGGCTTCCTGGAAGTCATCATCTTCATTGAAGCAGGGAAGGAACTAATCATCTATTGAAACAGGAGGAGCTACTCATCTACATTGAAACAGGAGGAACTAATCATCTGAACAGGATCAAGGGTGGAGGTTCTATTCCGCTGGCTCTACACAGGATGTTCTGGCCTGATGCCCTGCTTGCCCAGGGCAGGCTTTGCAATGCAGCAGGCTGTCAGGCAGGCCAAGTCTAAGGCCCCCAAGTCTGTGGCTCCTAACAGTCTTGATTTTACAA